GGGCTGGTCTCACCTGGCTGGCTCCTTTGTTGGTGCCCATCTGCAGGCTGATGGTAGTCTGGTCATAAGGTTTGTCGGTGTGAGTCTTTGGGTCGTACAGATGTCGTCTCGTTCCATACGCAGTCATTCCAGCCTGACTTGCACACTTGTTTGTTCCCATCTGAGAAACCAAAGCCAGAGACACGAGCTCAGCAAACACAGTTCGTCTTAGTTCACTCTGCAGTGAACTGTTGGCATTTAAATGGACCCTAAAGGTATCAGGTTTAAATGCAGTTACACAGGAAGTGTTTCTCTGCTGTACCACCATCAGAAGACATTTAAATCCAATGATGAAACAGGTCATGTGACAGTCACACTGAGCACTTACCTGCAGTCCGATGACACACTGGCCAGCCTTGATCTTCTCATCATCAAAGTGTCGAGCTTGTTTGTCTGCATATTTCACTCCGATATCAACCTTTGTGTCGATGCCTTTCGTCTTTGCCTGTCAGATAACACACGCTCGTCAGACTGATGGCGCTTTGTGTGACAGAACAGAAGAAGGACGCACTCGTCCTCTGCGCTGTGCGTGCACTCACCATGCTAGCCAGTGCGAGTAGCGTTGTCTGGACCTGAGTCATGTTTCCGTTTTCAAACAGGTCATTGGCCTCAAAGATGTCATTGGGCTTCAGGCCATAGGCCAGGATGGCTTTTATGAAATTCCCGAGGTTTTCCAGCTGCAGAGAGCATTATGGAAACAGAGATGAGAGTGGAGACGGAGCGCTGATACGACTGCTGGTGAAATGAACGACGTGCTTTAGCTCTCAGTGTTTGTGGTCGCTCTCACCTTGTGCCAGTTGAGCTGTGAAAGGTTGATTTTCTTCACTGAACCAGGCTGCAGCTTATTAATCAGTCTGTGAGACGCAGGGAGGAAAACATCACATTATTCCCACTGCTGCAGTGGATATCGTGCAGTTCAGACAGTTCCTTCACATTACATCACTCACACAACTTCCTGTTTAACGCTCAAAGTACCATCAAACCAATGAATTTTTCACAAATCAAGTTCAAACCATTAGAGAATACTCATAACCATCCCACAGACATAATGTGCAGGTAAGCAGCAGTACTGCTGACATCGAGTCACCATCTTAACGTGACCACGGCCTTTAAGGTGGCAGTAACCTGACCGTTACTTCACCCTCTGGGGTTACGACCCATTCAGTTTGTTCGTGGCCAAACGTAGGTTTGTAGTTTTTATTATTTTTATGTTTTTCTGCATAAAGCTTTTAACTAACTTCAGTTCTTTTCATAAATATAAAATAATTATTACATTTTTAACCCTTTAAACACCAGTTTGTTTGTGCACTGCACTGGCTGGAAGACAACCTCAAATCTCACAGTTTTATATAATTGCATTGCTGCTGAAATTTCTTGTGTTATTAACAGTAGAGTCTGGGGCGTGTAATTGATTCACATCAACATTGATTATAATGCATTGTTATTTTTGTGCAGGGAGAGGAAAAACATAAAAACTCCCTCTCAGCTTGTTCGTGGACAAAAATGGCCACCCCCTGTTTATGTTTACAAAATGCTATAAAATTCATATATATTAAGAAAAAATTCTTAATATAAGAAGCCAAAGACAGACGACAAAATCTTCCTCTGTTGCAACTGGAGGAGCTGGGGAGGAAGCTCTGGGTTGTTTCCCCTGTGCCAGTTTTCATCTGAGGGGTTCGTCTGCCAAGGTGCCCGAAGGAAAGACGTTGTCCTCGGCGCTCCTCCGTCAGTTGGAGTCTGAACCCCATGCCTTTTTTAACTTCCTGAGAACTTCCAGTGTTGTCATCCAACATGCTAGGTATTGCTTTATTCTGGTTTAGGCTTACATCTCCACTTCATCTATAATCCTCCAATCCTCACACCTTCGCCTCCCGTGCAGGTTTGTCAGGGTGCACAGCAGCTAAAAGATCTCCTTTGTT